ACAAGTAGTCAAGTCGCCAGCACTGTGAACACGGAAATGTTCAGTGGCCCAAAGTTTTATGTTAGAAATGTATAGTACGGGTCCCCAGCAATAACAAACTGCCTGATGCTAACTCGCATATGTTGGGCAATTTGCATAATTAGCATGAGTTGTGTTAATTAGCATTATAGCCTATATATGCAGACAAAAAATGGCTTGGCCAATTTGAACAATTTTGAAGTGGTTTTGGAGGTTATTGAGGACGCTGAATCCATTTCTGACATTATCAGGATCACAAATTGCAGATTTAAGCAGAAAGTGGCCATATTTGTAATCCAGATGGGTTGATTTTGACTACCATTGGATATAGAGAACACGAAATGAAGATTATTACCTTTTTTAGTGTGTCCAATTATTTTTCAAATAAATAAGCAATCTGTCCAGACTGATCCAGAGTTCACTAAAACTTCAGACTTTACCAAAAGTCGGGGCACTCACCATTTCACAATATGACTATGAGCTGGCAAACAAACTAAATTAAAGCTCTTTCTAAGTCATTTTCTTCTGGTATCTTTCGCAGACAAGAGCTTTTAAAGGAGAGCTACCGTCTGATGGAGATCAGGAAACTTCTCCGGGGCTACGGGATCCGCAACTTCAACCTCTCTAACAGCACTCAAATTATGGTAAGTTTGATTGAATATGTGAAATGATGATCTTCCTATGAACCCTCTTTAATGTTCTGCATATCTTCCCCAGACGCTGATTAGATACATCCTAAAGCAAGACTTGCCAATGTCCTTAGATGACTCGCTGACTTTAGCTGAAGCGTACAAACTTCCCAACTCGCAGATTAATTACTTGTTTCTCACTCAGCTGATCGGCCAAGGCAGGGTAAGCTCATCCACGTGAAGATATGACATCCCCTAGATTTAATGTTACCTTGATTTATTGATAGGAAGACTTTTATGCTGCTTTCAGACTGAGGAGTTCATGACTGTCCTGAAGAAGCTGTCCTGTGCCGAGGCACAGTGTGTGATCGAGCGCCTCACCACCTGGGCCAGGCTGCAGCTGGAGGACAAAGAACACATTTCTGATGAGGTGAGGAGAGGAAAAGAAGTTTGAAATGAAATGAAATTTGCATTTTACAATCTTGTATTTACGGCTTAATTTTCTGAAAGTAATTTCCAAACTACTGAGTTCATGTTGTCCCATTTTAAGAAGGTTTTAAGCAGCTTTTTATTGCTGAGCAGTAAATATAATTACAACATTGCATCTCTGCTGTCACACATAGATAATCTTTTTCATATACCAAGGTTTCTCCCTGGGAGCATTTCTGCTTGCAGACTTTTCATTATTCACTGATCTTCTACTTTGTCCATAATAGCACAAGAAGAACCAGATGGTCGTGGCTCAGGGGATGGTGGAGGCTCTGAAATACATGCATATAATCCAAAAGGGTAAGTACTAACTTTACCCCATTTTGAAGCATTTTCCTTGAGGAAATCAAAGTATTCCTCTCAGTTCCAGCTCTTAAGATAACTCAAGGCTCTGACCTCCATGTGTTGAAGCAATACATGTGTTGAAGTAAAACATCACACTGAAGGATGCTTTAGATCAGGGGTTCCCAACCTTTATTGTGCCAAGGACCGGCAGATACATTAAAAAAGATTCGCGGACCGGTTGTCAATTTTAGCTGATTTTAA